TACACAATTCTATTTTCACAGGCTTGTAACATAAACATAAAAATTCATTCTGAAGTGAAATCTGACAGAGAAGTTCAAGCTTAAGCAATTTGTGATACCAAATTTCTTTCCACTATTACCACTAAAATAAGGATTTTAAGACACTTACTACTAGGCTATATGTGTGTTTATATATAAACATATGTGTATACATGTGTATACATATATTAGATGGTAAAACCCTCAAAATCTAGGGATAAAGGTCTAATGTTGCAGTACAAAAATCCTGAATGCCAATAGAAAGTATATATGTAAAGTTGCTCAAGAATTTTCACTAGGTCTTGATGGGTATAATTTTTGTGATCTATAATAGACACAACACACAGGGATTTATAGGTGTCATGATAAACGTGTCTTTCATCGAGGTATTAATGATGCTAAAACATTAATAAAATGATGTATATGGTGGTAGTGTATGTTTCCTCAATTATCTTTTCTTTTCAAAGAATAATACCAGTTGTAAAATAATAAATATTAATTCTATAGAAGAAAATAATGGTGAATTCATAGACAAACAGGAAAAATGTAATTTAATAACAGGGAGATTCTTATATCACATTCAGGAAGCTGAAACAGAAAATCAGGAAGATGGCGTGATGTCAAAGTTTGACCCACGTCCAAAAAGTAAACAATATAAAAAAATCCTAAGTGCTAAATGGGAAAATAAAACCCATTTAAAACTGATACTTTCGGTTGTAATATTTACTTGAAGTCTGCACATCTTCTTTCTTGTCAAACTGGGAAAACTCTAAACCAGCGTGTAGGAGAAAGTGACCCATTAGATGCTTAGTGAGTCTTCTAGACCTGGAAGGTCTCTCAGCAAAGGACACACCATTATTTCAAAATTTATTTGGCCATGGAATAAAATTTTACATAACAACTGTGAACATCTACCAAAGGCCCCCTCTTACACAGTTTTATTTTAGGAAAATAGATCATTGTAATAGAAACAATAGGTTTTGAAACGATCTCAGTACCAAAATGTTTTCTAAGTACACTATGATGCCTACTTCTTCTTCCTTAAAAAGGAGAGGTTGAATTTTCTCCCTTTTAAAGCCTCCTCCAAATGGTATAATTCCAAAGTGCTTAAGAGAAGATTTGATATTTCATGTCAAATCTATTTAATTTCATGTCCCTATTTAATTTTCAGAAAATTTGAGCCAGATCAATCAAGTCCTCATAAATGTCCCCTGCTTACATAAAATAGCCTTCTTAATTTATTCTTAGTTATGTACATATTTTTAACATATATATGTTCCCTGTGTGAGTCATTTGCTTAGGGGACTCTTACATTGACCCTAATGGTCTTGCAGTCTCTGAGTGCATCTCACTATACTAAAAAGCTAAATTTGAATTATTTTTTACATAATTCATTCTCTTTCTCCTTTCTATTAGCATGAATAATCAAGAATTCATGGTATTATGGATTTTTAAATGTCAGAGATTGTAAAGCTGTCTTGCCTATTACAGTAAAAACTTCATTAAGGGCTATCATGTATTCAAAGTACTGTGTAATTCAAAGCAGCTGCATATCCAGCTCCCCCTCTCCAGATGTACTATTGTCCTTTGAGTCAAAACATCAGATAATCTAAGTACTCTTAAATTTCAAGCCTAGTTTCTAGGTGCCAGGAATTTCAAGGTAACCATATTTTAATAAAGTTATATATCTCTCTGCCATCAGAACCATAAAAAATGATGCTTTTCCACTTAAGTCTATGGATCTCACAGGGATAACTCCTGTTGCAGGATCATTCAGCCCCTAATGATATCTTTCACAAAGCCTTATAATTTAAAATGAACTTCAGATATATGCCAAATGATAATGCTTTATTTTTAAAGATTGTTTGGTCACAGTAGGAATGGCTTCTTTCTCATTGAAGTTCAAAGTATTCATTTGGATATGGAGGATTTTAATTTTCTTTTCTTTCAGCTATGAATCCAGTGTGATTTGCTTTTAAAAGGTAACACACATCCACTGAAATGCAATCTTTTAATAGTCATATGTCATAAATTAAGATAGTGTTGGTTTCCTAATACAAATGTATGTGTTTGAATAATTTTTCCAGAAGAAGTTACATTTATGATTTTAAAAAACTAAGATTGAGTGACTATGGGAGTGATGATAAATTAATGAACACAAAGTATATATCTTACAGGATCCAGTCAGGAGAAAACCTCACTTAAAATATTCCTTTATTACATAGTAGCCATGGACAATTTAACTAAGATTAAAATAAAAGCTGGTTTCATATCCCTCTTGTCTTTCTTCACGATGGTGTGTTTTTATAAAGTTGAACTTCTCTGTCATCAATAATTTGGTAAATTACCTTTTACAAAGGGAAGATAAAACCTATCTTTATGTAAACCCTTACACATCACAAAAAGACTTACAAGTGTTCCAAACTTACGGTTTTGGCACACCGACTGCGTAGCGTTGAGGGAGGAAAAAAAGGGGTTAGCAGAAAGTGTATTTAGGATGAATGCCACCCACCATCAAGTAATGGTTTAAGTAGAAAGTAATCAGAGGGAGACCACAGCAGCTAAATTTCAACCAAAGATATTCTAGGTTTAGAACAATAAATAATTTTAATCAGGTATGTTCCAAGAAGCAAATAGGGCTTCAACGCTATAACTTAGCCTGAATAAGCACTTCAAAACTCTGTTAGATCAGCAGTCCCTCCAGAGATGCAACACATCACCAGACCTTCCATTAAAATCTTTACTCTGCTGGGACAGAGAGGCCCATATGTTATGAAACATAAATGCTATAGACTAGAAAACATATCTAAATGAATGCAGACACCCTCTTTCACCTACATCAGCCTGTTGGTCATCAGATGAAGAGTGTTACAGAGATACTGACATGGCTAAGCGAGTGCGATACACATAAAGCCTGAACACCTTCCTGGAGTCCTGCTTTACTAGAGCCAGAACTGCCTTATAGTAAGGTCTTTTTTAGTGTGTCAGTAACGAAACACTCTTGGTAGGGTTCCGATGTGAAACACCTCTCCAGGAGTCTACAGGGTGGTAACGTGACACGCTTCCTCAGAAACCAGTGTCTACATTTGATGAATAAGTCATTAAGACAGTCTCTCGGATGCTGAAGGGATTGCTTTTCTTATCAAGTCACACAACCTTGTATATATGCTGCAAGCTGCACTTCATCATTTCCAGGAAACTTCTGGCCTCAGTAACAGAGTTTATCATTCAATGGTATAAGACTACAGTGAGGTTTGATAAGGGACACTGAAATTATAGTGCAAAGAATGAGATGAAGCCAAAAAGCATATGACTCCTGAGTTCTTTAAATCCTGTCCATTTTCCACTGATGGTTCACTTTGCCTCAAACATATAAAAAACTATACAGTATGTGTGAGTGAGATACACTCAGCATTCCAACTGCAAACCTTGTGATCCATACTAATAACAAAACTTGTTGACACAAAAAGACAATTTGCCTATAGTTGCCTCAGTGACTCCTTAGGAGTGTTACCAAGAAATTGAAACTCAAGGTAAGAATGGTTTGAGTATTTTCATTATTGCCACCTGCCTGCCACCACACCTGCCTTTCAATTCTTGTTCCCTCATTCTCAGAGTTACACTAAAGTAAACAGCATTTACTGGTGTGGTCCACTGTTGTGACAGTCGCCTCATATGCTTGACACTGGATAACCTCGAGCAGTTTTCTATTTCCCAGGCAGAGGCTTTCATGTTTTCAGAAAGTGAAGTCTGGTTCAGCTCAGACTATAGCTAAAGACTTCTGCATTAGAAAGCATAATTCACATTTACTGTAAATGTCATCATGTCTGTGAGCTCAAGTGTGCATTTACAGTGTCATTCTAGGGCTTTCTTGATGGATGTTTTAGTCTCCCACACCCCTTTTCTTTTTTAACCAGGATTTCTACATATCAAAGCTTTGGGGTATTACTTTCTAGTGATCCTGACAGAATTGATAGAGCATGAGGCATGGCCTCTTACTCGAAGATTTTTGGCTGTTATTCAAGGATTCACTGAAGACAGGTTTTGCAGTTACATTCCCCTTTATCATAAATGTAGTGAACAAAAAGCCGGGTGCATCCTCAAAGCATGTAAACCGTTAGCGTCCAGGAAACTTTCCCTCAAGCTGTTAGCACAGGGAGGAAGGCTGTTAGCATAAGTTATTCGTTGCACCGCAGGGGCCAGGAGAAACCTGGTTAAGCCATGAATTTCAGTTCGTGGTGATCTGTGTTGAAAAATGGGATGAGCAGATTTTCATCATCAGATTCCAAGAGGTGTTTACATCTACACTGCTCTCCGGGCCTCTAATCCCTCCCAGGCTGGATGGTACAATCCCTGTTAGCCCAGATGGGTTTTAAATAATCAAAACATCCAAGCACTGGGGGTAATTTGGTGTTGCCACCAAGGGATTATCCAGTAGAAAGTGTCAAATATAGCAACACTGAGGCCACAAATCAAGAGGGGGTTGGGTTCAAGATTTGGAGAAGTGACAATCTAATCCAAGGGGAAGGTTCTACTTCATGTGTGAATTTTCTCTCTGGGGTTGGCATAAAATGGCATCTGCCTGTAGGTAAACATGACTACAGCCCAGACCAAGGGAATTTCTGCTGACAGAGTTAAGAAACCTCAGCATGCAGTACCCTAGAGGTGTTCCAGACCCCCAGAGCAGGGGCTTCGCTGGACATGGGGTGGAGCCCCGTTTTTCACAGTTTTCCCAGCTTACTCCCTCAACTGCTCTGAGCCTTTCTCTCCACTTCTCCCTCACACTTAGGACTCCACAACTGGGCTTATTTGCAGGCAAAATGCCCTGTAGTAGGGCAGAGGAGCCCTGAGGTCAGCTGAGGGTGGAGGGGTGGGGAGATGTCTCCAGGTAGCCCTATACAGAGCAGGGGCAACTTGGAAGCTGAGGAGGGTCCCAGCAAAAAACTGGGGTTTGACCGCGAAGGGGGCGCACGGGCACTCACCTGCTGCTCCTGCTCGAAAACTGCGAACCGTGTTGCCTTCGCGCAGGGTTTTAGGGCGCAGGGACTGTGAGCCCCGGTCAGGGGAGTCTGGTGTCGAGGCCGCCTCGCCCTTGCCGCCGCCGCTGTACCTGTCATAGAGCCTCAGCATGTGCTCTGACACCTTGTCGTGGGGTGGCAACACGGCGTCCGAGCCATCACCTGCCGTGTGGTCGCCTGACACTGTCTTGCGGAGCTCTGGGGAACGGTGCTTGTGTCTGTCGCTCTGCGCCAGAACCACGCAGAAGCAGCTCAGCCACAGATAGAACAGCCAGTGCGCCCCAGCCATGGCGAGGTCCGGGTGCTGCGCGTCCACTCTCCGAGTCGCGCGGGGACTCTAGGAAGACGCGAGGGGCCAGCGGCAGAGTCGAAGGTTGAACTCCAGACTTGCTGGGGAGAGGGGCTCCCGGAGTCCCGCCACTGCCTGAGCCAGACAGCCACTAGCCCTACTTTTTTGCGCTGGCCGAACACCGACTGGCAGGTGGGCTCTTCCTGGGGTGCAGCGCGGACCTCACCAGCGCAGGGCGCTGTAGACGCCTCCTCCACTCGCACGCTGAGAATGAGCTTAAGTCGCGGCGTGTGTGGCCAGGGTGTTTCCAGGATCTGTCTGTATCCTCCCTCCACGCTTTATTTTCGGGAACTGCGGGCCGAAGTGGCAGCGCTGGGGACTGAAAGTAGCGTTGCTTCGGGCGCACTGCGTGAGCTGGGGTGCGCGCAACGGTCTGGAGGGCGCTCGATCGCCTTTTCCAGCAAAAGGAGCAGCCTTGGTGCTGCAGGTCCGAGGTTGTGTGTGTGTTTGTGTATGTGTGTGTGTGTGTGTGTGTGTGTGTGCGCGAGAGAGAGAGCGCGCGCGCGCGGGTGGGGGTGGGAGGGGTGTCGGGCGACTCGGGTGGGGGCGAGAGAGGAGGGAGACTGACTTCCTTCTCAGGCTGATCTCCACAGCCCACAGTCAATCTCCCCCTCTACTTCGCCCTCGCAGGGAGATGGAACTAGGTTATAGCCAGGAAAGAGGGGGTAAGCAAGCCTCAAACAAGCAGGGAGAAGGGAAAGGGGGTGGGAGGTTGGTTGGACTGGGGAGGAGGAGATGATCTAGGAGGAAAGAAAGGGTATTTATTTGCAGTCCCTTCAACAATATTGAATGTGTCCTGGTAAGCAAGAGGGCAGAGGAAAATGAATTCCTGGGTCTCCTCTGATTCAAACAAAATCAAGACGTGAGCACCATTCTCATTTCCCTTACTGACTGCACCTGTGATGGGCTGCCGTTTCTGCCTGACTTTATGAGGTTTATCCATCTTCTCTCCATTTTCTCTTTGCAGCTCCCAACTAAGAAAAAAAAAAAAAAAGTGAGCCAATTCCATCTTAACAAACAAACAAACATGCCACAAACGCCCTACCCTAATCCCCCTCTAAAGTTGTTCTGTAAAATGGCGGACTGTAGTGAAATGTCAGGATTATGGGAGGGCCCACATCCAGAGAAGACTTAGACCAGTACTCTAGGAGACCCTTAGTAGTTTGTAGGTATTAGTACTTCTATGGCGACTGAAAAACTGGTACACACTTTCCCCTACACCTCTCATGCCCTAGGAACATAGGAAAGGCCTATTTTATAGAGGAAGAACTTGAGGCAAAGACATGGCAGAACTGAGGTCCGTATTCAGATGCCTAAGTCTAGCACATCGCCCTGCACTCACTGTACTAATAGTGAAACTAGAATTTGGATTGAAGTTTCAAAATGACAATGCATGTAAATGTTCTTGGCATAATACCTAATTTACTGTAATCTAGGCCTGAATAAATTTGTCCTGCATTACCTGTTTCTTCAGTGGTACAGAGTGGGGTTTATTGAAAAGATTTAGGCTCAGGGGTCTCCTTGGGCTTCCAAATCGTTGGTTTTTTGTAGGTAACAGCATGCCCCTTTTAGAGTTTTATTTGGAGGAAGACAGAAAAATGTTCTCAAGTAACTGGCGCATTGATGAGCCTTGGGTAAGGGCTCAAGCTCTTTATATCTCAAATTCATTCCAAATGCAGTCTACATTCTCCCTTCTCAGTCACTTCTCAAAGCATTGTGGTTTAGATTTGCCCTAAGCCACCCCCCAGAACTGTTCTGCAGATAATAACATATATTTCAAGGGTTGCTGTGAGGATTAAATGAGATCATGTGTGTGATCTGTGCTTGGCATAATGAACATAATAGCCTTTGTGATTAATAATGGGCACCCAATTGCAAAATTCAATAGGCCCTGGAAACTTCCCCTCTCTTTGATTTTTTTCCCTGTGAATCTTTGATTCTTTCCTTCGCCTTTCTGTTCTCTCTCTCAATTCTTGAAGCTGCCTCCTTTCTGCAGGCCTTACTCCAGTGCTCCTCACATTTTTATATGTGGTCCTGGGAGGCTGCCCAATTGAGAAGAAAAACCTGCTGCTTTGCTAGTCACCTCAGTTTTTAAATATATAGCCTTGGTCTCCCTGAGTGTTAGTCCACATTGCCAAAAGTTCACCCTCTTCCCCTCTGAAGCCACCCCTGAGACTTCCCTACCTTTAATGCTAGTGCATAGCTTTCATAATATTTGCCAATTTATACTTGACTTAATTCTTCATTCATAGGATGGTGCTATGTGTGCTGTAGTTGACTATATGTTCCTAATGCCTGCTTCACTTCTTCCTAGATCCATGTATTTTCTCTTCCTTGTGCTTTTTTGTTTTCTCATTTGATCATAAACATTAAATAATAGTCCTCTCTTATGGGGTTCTTGCAAAAAATCATTGGGTAGTCTGTGTCAGACTATCGGTACAGTGCCTAGCTCACAACAAATGTTTAAGAGTCAACTATGAGCTAGGAGATTTGCCTATATGTTTTTGTCTATAGCAGTGGTCAAGTCATAACTATTTTTACATTTTAGTGACCAGACATCACATCCAGAATAAACAAAGTAATGAGGAGATGTTAAGCAGGTAGATTAATCCCTAGCCAGAATTCTCAACTGTAATTGCAAGACTGGAATAGAAAGTATGGATGGAAGCCAGCAAAATGACAAACACTTATAGCAGCCAAATCCTGAACTGAATGTGGCTCATGTGCAACTAACCCACACCTACGAAGACAGAGAAGTAGATATAAACAGACAAAGCCAGCAGTAACATGTCCAGCAAGGATAAATAAGTGGTACCCATGCCAGACTCTCTTAGTGGACTCCTGGGGAACTGAATGAAAAGCAAGTTGAAATGATAACAGGACTCTCATTAGAACACCTGCAGAATGGCACTGTGCTTCTTTTGAGAAGGGCCACAGAATTTCAGATTTGGATGGATTAATTTTTTTCTGTTCTTTTTAAAAGATATATCTTTATTTATTTATATATACATAAACAGGGCATAGGCCAGAGGTGTGGAGGGAGAGAGGATTCACCAGAGACAGAGTGGGGAGCAGAAAAGGCAGACTGACTGAAATACACTGGTGAGGGGAGCAGGAGGTGAGACAGAAGAGGTCTTCTGTGCCATGTGGGTCAACTCCTGGGCTGGGAGATGGAACTCTTGCTACAGTGGCTGCTGATAGCTTTACAGTGCTGAGACTTTGCTCCTTGTACCACCAGAGAGGCCCTGGATTAAATTTTTTCATAATGCTGCTATCTTTAGATAGCATCCCTACAAAAGGAATATGTCATATGACTCATAATCTCATTGAGTAATGGTAATATAAGTATCTTATGTCTGGTTTCTCCATTGAGTTAGATTAGTTTACAGTTGTTTTATTTTTTATAATAGAATTTCGTATTTTATGCCAGAGATTGTTCTATGACAGCCAGCCACTGGGCAGAGGACACTTACCAGTCTCTTCCTAATTTAATGAAAGTTAAAGAAGGACATTTTTATAAATAATATAATAGGGCCCTCCCTGGTGGCACAACGGGTTAGTATGCAGCACTGCGAACTGATCACAGTAGCTTCAGTGTGAGTTTGATCCCCCGCCCTTAAGTGACCCACATGGCGTGGCAGACCCCTCTGGCCCTCCTGCTGCTCCCCTCAGCAGTGTACTTTGTTGAGCTGCCTGTTCTGCTTCCCACTCTGTCTCTGGTGAACCCTCTCACTGCCACTGAACGTCTGGCCTGTACCCCAATTCTGGTTATAAATTAAAAAAGCCTTAATATATACATATAATAGCAAACACAAATTAGGAATTTGAGTGGATTCTATTGAAATGAATGCTATATTTGATCGCAAAATCATGTGTGTGTATATATATATATATTATGAATTTCTTTTAGCTATCTTAAGCACTTTATACTTTATTTCTTAAAATTTTCTATAAGCTACTAATGAATATTTACATAGGATTGCATTATCAGTATGGGGAAAGTATATAAGGAGAATGTCTTAAGCTGGGAAGAGTTTGCCTTCTAGTAGGTAAACTGAAGAAGCCCACATAGGATGATTAATAAGTAAGGGGAGTATTATTGATAGTTACATTATAGTATAGCGTTGTCCTAATCATATTTATAGTCTATGTCACAAAGTGTCCTCAGTTGAAAAGAGATGGAGAAACTGGAGAAGATTTCCTGGAAAAATCTTAGCTTTGAAAAATGAATAGGAGTTTAGATAAGCCAAACAAAGTTCTTGTAATTTAGGAAAGAGTATCAGTGAGTGATAAGTTACAGACATAAGAATGGAACTTGCCATGTTAAAAAGGTAGTGGCTGCTAGCACCAAGACTAGCTTGCTTTGAACTGAGTCTGTGCATCAGAGCACAAGCAAACGGAGGTAGGGTGTGGGGCAGAATGAATGCATGGAGGACCTTCCATGTGAGAGCAAGAGGAAAGGAGGAAACCATACGATGTTTTTGAGAAAGAAAGTTTTCTAATGGTCAAAGCACTCCCAATGATCTGAAAAGTTTCAACAATTAATAAATTTCCTGCCTCTAGATGTATATAAAACATAAAGTAGATGACAACTGGGAGAAATCTCAGAGTTGATTCAAGTCTAGAAGTTTGATTGAAGGCATTAAGCTTTACTAATTGCAAAATTATTTGGACATATATTTATGATGTTATTTATATGTATATGTGTATACACATATGGATATATATGGATATATATACACACACACACTATATTTAACTATATGTATAATAAAATTCACAGTAGCTTAACATATAGGGATTTATTTATTTCTCCCTTCTGGTTTCTATTTGTTCAGCGGCTTGACAATGTCATTGTTAATGATTGTAAATGATTGTGTGATTCTTGTCATTTGCCTCTTTTTCCCTGAAACTCCAGAAGTCACCAACTCAAGTCCTTGCTGAAGAAAGGAGGAAAACCAAGGCACCAGTTCTATTGTTCCTTTATATGAGGACAAGCAAATGCTTTTCATCCGTGGCAGGTGTCTCTGGTATATTGCTGAAGAAACCTTATCACATGACCACCTCCAAATGCATAGGG